TCAGCCTCTGCAATTAAAAAAAACCCAACCCTCCTCTAATATTACTACACATCCGACACACATAATATACACACATTAACAATACACAGTACTTTTCATTAGTGTACATGGCCTTTCCTAAACAGATTTGCTACTGGGAAGATTAGTTTGAGGAAGCTTTCTAAAATAATGATATGCAAACTACCAGTGACTTCCTTTTCTTTGGGTTTAGAAATGTATCCTGGTGGTCTATATGCTACAGACTTGATCATTTACTTTTTCATACCTCACCCTGATGTACCAAACTTTCCTCCTAAAAGCTCTTAAGAATCATTCTGTTTCTAACCGCGGAAGAAGATGGAAGTGCCCGGGACGATGAGAATTTTCTGAACCAATGGATTGCTCACGAGAGGAAGAATTTGATCTTTTTATGGAATGTGTAAGCAAAAATTCCCGCAGCACCTTTTTACTACTATTATACGCTGGAGCTGTCACATCTTGGCAGACTCTCCTCACGTAAGAGCCTGGGCCTTTCAGGGTTTAGGGCCGCAGGCCGTGGCTTAGCCTGGAGCATGACTTGATTTCGCCATCGCTGTGTTTTTTATTGTCTTTCAAATTTGTTGCTCACATAAAAGAATCCTGCGATTTCTGGCCCTTGAATGAGGGGTGGCAGCCCAGGCTCCATGTCTCTGTGTGGGAAACAGTTGGCCGGGCTTAGTGGCAGCCGGACCTTCCTGGTCGGACAGGCTACATGGCTAGCTGCTTTTGCCCCAGATCCCTGCCCTCCCCCCTCAGCCCAATCCCAACTCATGTAATTCAAGGCCAGCATCATTCTGGGAACCTGCCCTTACTCTGGTAGCTGGTTAAACTCATGTCTCCCCATTGATCAAAAGCAAGATATGTCTCCAACCAAAAAACACGGTCGGTGTCTCCCTCTCATAGTATGAGCCTTTGCCATGCAGGAGCTTAGATGCACATTTATCAATGCTTTTCTACAGACGATCTGGATGGTTGGACCTGCTCGCTGATCTGGGCAGATAGGAAAGCAACTTTGACATTTGCCTAATTGCACAGCCATGGTTTCAACTTTGACGCTCACGGACATGAGTCACCGCATTTGCGGAATCTGAATTTGATTTACGGTGTGGTCCTGCTTCCGGGTCAGTACGCGGTGGAAGCAAATTGCTGTCAGGAAGTGAGCGCTGAGGTGCTTTTAGCTGCATTCTTCAGGCGCGCTGGACCTTTCTTCATTCTATCCCAATCTAATGCGCAAGAAAGGTTCCAAATAGTACTTTTGCTGAGCAAATCGCAGAGGAACGAATGCAGCGCAGGTAAAATTTTAAGCCCCCAGAAGATGTCGCGTGATCAGACCTGTGGAAGTTGCAGTGTTCCTTCCAGTACCATCACCAATCTTTTCCGAATTTTTCGACATGAATAATATGGAAATGAGGCGAAATGAACGTATGCCTAGTAATTCTGCCCCAAGCCCAAGGCCCCAGTTTAATGTCCTCAAGGTGTCATGTATCGTAAGGGAAACAAGTGGATGGGGTGGTGGGTGGTGGTGGTAAACCAGAGTTGCTTTTAATTGAGGGGACAGCCACAAGGACCCCGGTAGGTATCCAGGAATTCCAAATTTCTGGAAAGAGAAGCTGGAAATTGAAGTTTTTTTTCATGGGCAATCTCTGATTTCAAAGCCAAATTCAGTTTGTTTTTTATTATGATCTCACTGCACAATGAAACAGGACTTGGCCAGAT